GGTGTATATAGAGGGCGCTATGCAGTGATGTGGTGTATATAGAGGGTGCTCTGCAGTGACGTAGTGTATATAGAGGGCGCTCTGCAGTGATGCAGCATAGATAGAGGGCGCTGTGTGCGGTGATGGGATGTATATAGAGGGCGCTGTGTGCGGTGATGTAGTGTATATAGAGGGCGCTATGCAGTGACGTGGTGTATATAGAGGGCGCTCTGCAGTGATGCAGCATAGATAGAGGGCGCTGTGTGCGGTGATGTGATGTATATAGAGGGCGCTGTGTGCGGTGATGTAGTGTATATAGAGGGCGCTATGCAGTGACGTGGTGTATATAGAGGGCGCTATGCAGTGACGTGGTGTATATAGAGGGCGCTCACCGTCGGCGGTGTCGCGCACGTGGTTGGCGTATTGTTCGAGACCGTTCATGTCCTGCTGCAGTGGTCTGAGGTTGACCTGTGACGGATCGGTGACGATGCCTCCAACCAACGGCTGATGGACACGCAGAAAGAGAGAGAGAGAGACGGAAATACAGTGTAGCCCCGTTATAACTCAATGGTTGCGGTCCATGAAATGTCATCGCGAAAAAAGCGGGGTTATATATATACTTGGCTATATAAGAGCAAAAAAAGAGGGTCCAACGACTCATCGCGTCATATCCGAATTCGCGTTAAATCAGGGCACGTAAAATCGGGGTTCCACTGTAATCACATTTACATACACACCTGACACGGCTCGCGACACCTGGCCGATTATTAAACAATCACAAAAGAGAGTTTGACACGTATTTTTCCTCGTTTCTACCGATTTTCCACTTTTTGCATACGTAAAAAGTATACCCGTTCTTGAGCTTACATATATTACATATACACATTGATAAATGAATAATTAAGTTTTGATTGATGATAAATATTGATTTAATGGTCATCATCATCATCATCATCATCATCACTCACCCTCAGCGCGTCGACGCGGTCCTGGTCGCGGCGGAGGCGGGCGTACGCGTACACGCCTATGGAGACGTTAGCAAGCTCGTCCATGACCCCGGACACATTCGTCTCTAGCCACGCGACATCGTCGATGAGGATGTGCGTGCAGACGTCGCATGGCTGGCAGCCGACGTTCTCGATGAACACCCACTTCTCGTCGCACGTGTCGCACTTATCTCCCGTCACGCCGGGCAGACACTTGCACTGACCCGTCGCCTGGTCGCAGATCGTTCCCGTGTCGACGAAGTTCTCGCAGTCGCACTCTGCAGACGATACGCGCGGTGTGATGACGTCATCGGTTTTCGTGTACGCGAGCGCGGAAAGTGGACATGTGCAAAAGCACGTAATTATAATAAAGATATATAGAAACACCTAATAAACATATGCGTGCACGCTCGTTCTTTCTCTCACTGTTTCTAACTTTCTCTCTACCTCGCTCTCTCTCTCTCTCTCTCTCTTTCTCTCTCTCGCTCTCTCGCTTCTCTCTCTCTCTCTCTCTCTCTCTCTCTCTCACACACACACACACACACACTGTCTCCCCCCCTCTCTCTTTCTCCCCCCCACCTCTCTCTCTCTCCTTCTATCTTTCTCTCCCCCCTCTCTCTTTCTCTCACGCACACACACTGTCTCCCCCCTCTCTCTTTCTCCCCCCCTCTACCAGACTACCTATCTCCCTCTCCCTCCCCCCACCACACACACACATCTATCTATGACTCACTCTGGCAGCCGAACGGAGAGAGTTCCAGTATCCGTTCTTGCACGTGTCGCACGTGCGCCCGCGCACCGCCGGCTGGCACTTCGCAGTCTCCCCGTCTCCGCATCGCACTGGCTGCTCATCGATGCCTCCGAGCAGTTGCAGTGGCGTGCATCCCTCGCAGGAGCTGAAGCCGTACATGTTGCGCTGGCAGCGGTCGCACGCGACTCCTCGACGCCGGCCGGCGGCACAGCGGCAGCTTCCGGTGTCAAAGTCGCACTCCTCCGTCCCGCACCGCTCGCACGAACAACCTGTAGATGGTGATGATGATGAGTGCTGTGTTAGCTGGTGATGATGACGAGTGCTTGTTGTCTAGCTGGTGATGATGACGAGTGCTTGTGTTAGCTGGTGATGATGACGAGTGCTTGTGTTAGCTGGTGATGATGATGGTGCTTGTGTTAGCTGGTGATGATGACGAGTGCTTGTGTTAGCTGGTGATGATGACGAGTGCTTTGTGTTAGCTGGTAATGATGAGGGTGCTTGTGTTAGCTGGTGATGATGACGGTGCGGGTGCTTGTGTTCGCTGGTGATGATGACGGTGCTTGTGTTAGGCTGGTGATGATGACGGGTGCTTGTGTTAGCTGGTGATGATGACGGGTGCTTGTGTTATGGTGATGATGACGGGTGCTTGTGTTAGCTGGTGATGAATGATGAGAGTGCTTGGTTAGCGGTAGAGATGACAGTGCTTGTGTTAGCTGGTGTGATGACGGTGCTTTGTGTTAGCTGGTCAATGATGACGGGTGCTTTGTGTTGCTGGTGATGATGACAGTGCTTGTGTTCGCTGGTGAATGCAGATGGGTCTTGTGTTAGCTGGTTATGATAACGATGCTTGTGTTAGCTGGTGATGATGACGAGTTCTTTGTGTTAGCTGTAAATGACGTGCTTGTGTTAGCTGTGATGATGAGCGTGCTTGTGTTAGCTGGTAATGGATGAGCGGGTTGCTTTCGGTAGCTGTGAATGATGACGAGTTGCTTGTTGTTAGCTTGGTGAGATGACGATGCTTGTGTTAGCTGGTGATGATGAGAGTGCTTGTGTTACTGGTAATATGACGCGTGCTTGTGTTAGCTGTGAGATGACGAGTGCTTTGTTAGCTGGTGAATGATGAACGAGTGCTGTGTTAGCTGGTGATGATGACGGGTGCTGTGTTAGCTGGTGATGATGACGAGTGCTGGTGTGTTAGCTGGTGACTGATGATCGAGTGCTTGTGTTAGCTGAGTGATGATGATGGGTGCTTGTGTTAGCTGGTGATGAATGATGGGTGCTTGTTGTTAGCTTGATATGGACGAGTGCTTGTGTTAGTGGTAATGATGAGGGTGCTTGTGTAGCTGGTGATATACGGGTGCCTTGTGTTAGCTGGTGATGATGACGAGTGCTTGT